AAAACCTGACTTCTAAGGTACAATACTAGCAAAACATGAAATAAAATAGCCAAGCATCATTACAATTATTTGATGGTACATCGTAAATGTTCATCTCCGTCTTTCGGGGCCGAGTATTCGTAGCTCCGGCAAACAATATAACACGATTAGAGTTCATAGTAGCTTAATTAGCTTGATGCGTACGAACATGAAGAGATACTAAGGCATACTTGTTATTTCCAGAGAACGGGTGCTCGAACGGGTGCCCGAATAAATGATCTTGACATTCGTACTCCGCTCAGGAACCCTTCCCCCCTCCCACCCGGAAGTTTAACTCAGGCGTATTAGTTGTTTTTTGGATACCCCGTCCCGGGAGGCCATTTTGCGAAATTCTCCGGGATCCAAAAGGCAAAATAAGTCAGTTAAAAATACAAGCATATTCTTAATAAAACATATTTACAAATTCTGCAACCTACCGGCCACTCCAAGTTGCATGCGTTTTTCTGAATGTGTAGGATCGCCAGCTGGTGGGGACAGTGGTTTTCACGTGAAGCAACAAAATTAAAGGAGGGGAAAGCCCAGTGAAAAACGATAAACGAACTATACACATACCCCAGTCACGCTTGTGTGTTTGTTCACTTTCAGGGGAGCGAAAATCGAAGTTAACGCGCGCGCATACGCACACATAGACAAGAGAGGGGATGAAGGGAAGAGAATATCATATAGTGCAACACAAAGTGACTTTGAAGAGACAAAAAACGGAATCGAGTTGAAAGTAGATCGAAGTGGTCTCCGTGTTGCCGAAGAATGAGTTGCGAGGAGCTGCAGTGGGAGGCTAATGGGCGTGTGACATGATGGTCACTTGAGTCAGATATAGTGCGACACAAAGGGATCCTCTTAAGGGTACTTAGGTGGGATGTGCGTGTATAGCGATTGTCGACATTTCTGAAGACTAAAAAGGGAGTAAAGAGTGGATGAGGAGCAACGCAGACGCATAATAACATCTCAGGTGGCAATTGAGTCGCGAGCGGGGGAAGTCGGTAAGTCGTCCACCACACTGCTACTACCATTGACCTCCGGGTAGGGTGCTGACAAGAGAAACGACGAGTCAGGTGGACAGTCTGACCCCGGCTCCTCTCCCACAAACTCTGTCAGCTCGGTTTCCTTATATGTTCTACCTCTTTCATCCTCAGCCGTAGTCCTGTCCTCGTCGAGAGATACGTTCTTAAAGGAATCAAAATTTGAGTCATTAGCCGGCTGAGTGGTTTCGCTTTCTTCAAGAGCCAGAGTCGATTGATCATCTGTGGAGACTTCCAATACTGTGGAGGGGAAGCTATCGTGGAGATCGATCGTTGAAATTTCGGGAGCGACTGCCTCAGCTTGAGTGACATTATAGGCTTTGGGTGAGCTGGTCAACGGTGTGCAGACTGAGGGACAAGCTGCCATTTTACGTTGTCGCATTATATCCGCTGTACTGCCCCACTTGTTTTCAAAATATTTGTGCATAAAATGCCCGGCCCGACCGATGTCCGAATCATCTTCATTGAAGACCTCACAGTTTTGGAAGATCAGACGCACGTCAGAAAGCCACTCCTGTAGGGAATAGGTTTTTCTACGAAAAAAAGTAATGAAAAATAAATTGCTGCTTTGGCAGATTTGCAAAATTCATCTGGCCCAATAGTAAAAAACTCGGCGGTCCATACTAGTCTTACAGGCAGAAAAAAAGATAGAGGCAAAGGTTCGCATCTAGAAAAAAAATATCATTTGAGTTTAAAAAATAGCCCGTGGTTATGAAAAGAAAGTATGACCTATCAAGATAGCTTTGGATAACGCAGACCAATCAGAATCGTCCTAAACAGAGACGGGGAAGCAAAACTTATACTGTCCAGGTGTTTTCGATTGAAGCACTCCCGAAAGACTGTGTTTGTTTCAGCCGGATTACTCTCCTGCCGACAGGATGAACCACCGCAAACTAGTTCTAGAAATGAGGGAACGGAGAATCAACGGAGAACCGAATCTAGTGGTTTACAAAGACCAGATAGTCGAACGAAATTCTGCCCCCTCATGGATCAAACCGATTCGAATGACCGCGCAGCTACTCCAGTAGACTGCGTCAGGGTTAAAAATGGACCGCGCAAGAACTCAAAGCTGATATTTATGTATACGGTAGGTTACCTTACTCATGAAATCCAAGGATTTTTACAAGTAGCTGCCTGTTACTCAATCGCAGCCCAAGCTGCGACCCCCAAAGTCTTACAGCAATAAAGTAATGGTCGTTCTCCACAATAGGACATCTTGTGAGTTATGAAGGAATATAAAGTTTTACAGAAATTCCAGCTTTTTTAGCAAAGTGGAAAATTGCGAAAAAGTTGAAATCGGGCGTACTAGGTAAACTTAAGTTTTACATGTAGATAAAGCCTGTTCATGCAAAAACTACCGAATGAATAAAGCAGCACAAGCAAAAATTACATTGGAAAATAATCCTTCTGTAAAATTTTATGCTACATATACTTCCATATTACGTGCAATGTAATTTTGCCGAACAACCCAAATTTCGCGTATGTATTCCAAAACGTTTTCACGAAAATTGCTAGTTTTTTCTTTCGTTTATGCATTGCTGCAGTTACGTTGGACTGAGGCAACCACATTTTCGCTTGAGGTTGCCCATTGGGAAATCAGAGGAGTAATCTATTTTGTAAGCGCACGTGCGGACATGCCGATCAGTGACTAATAGATTTAAATGGAATTGTGAGGTGCAATTGTAGACGTACCCCTTTTTCTGCACTAAGAGTAATTGCCGTCCGCCGCATCCCTTTGTAATTATTTTGGGATTTCGATTACGAAAAGATGCTAATTAAGACTTTACGATTTTGACTGACTTCAGTCGATTGAACATAAATAATGATCATATTCTACATGCTTACCTAAACCTTCAAAATAAGATATATCTTAAAAGCGTTTACCTAAATAACGTGCTTTTAAACATTATTTCCTATGCAACTGTCTGTTTGCGCCATGGTTTCAGAACCACCCAAACCTGTCAACTCATTGCCGAGAAAAAGGAACGTCCACAAGAAAAGTCGCGAATGAATATGCCTAAGATTGTTTAAGAAATTTTCAATAACAAGTAACCTCTTGAAAAAGAGCTTTAGTTACATATTTTGTTGTCGGATATCTGCGAATTTTCTTTTTTTGAAGATTAAGTCAAGATCAGAATGGGAAATTTTGGCC